AGCAGTAAGCTAAGACCACCTTGGGGATAAAGGGACAAAAGGAGCATACAGTGCTGCCTGAACCCAAAAGCTGGGGCCATTGAGCATAAATCCTAACATGGTGGAGGCTGCCCAGCAGGAACTAGGGTCATGGAGAAAGAGGTTGTCCTGTTGAAGTCAGAGCCATGAAGGAGATGTAGCTACTGCTAAAGATGCTGAATGCCAAGAAAGAAGAAATATCCTGGATTTTCCCCTTCTCTCACCCTCGACCATTGTCCTTCTGTGTCCATGGCAACCTGTAAGCCAGGAGGAAGGAAATCTCAGAAAGGTAATTCTCAACAATAAAAAGAGAGGATAAGGAGGATCAGTGCAGGGAACAGATCTGAGTGCACAAATGGCAAGGATGTTTCCAAACCAGCACAGTAACTAAACTGCCTACAGCAAATGTCCTGGTTCACTTCATCACTTTTTTACCTGATATCGATCAAAAAACAAAAAACACAAAAACCTATACAGTTCTTTTTGTCCCGAGTTTTGCCTCCTCCCAATTCCTCCATACTTGGGCCAGAATAGTCTTCTAACAGGAAAATCTGATTAGAGGGGCCCTACCTTCTTCAATACATTGCCATGGTCAACAGCTAAACTCCCTCAGATTACACTGGTGGCCCTAATTACTTCACCTCCATTATGTACATTTACATTGAGCCATACTGAACTGCTTGTGATTTCCAGAACATTCCATACCTCTCATGCCTTCTCGTATTTGTCTCTAGGTAAACAACCACTTATTCTATGTGAGGGAGTGGTTGTAAGCATGGACTCTAGAGCCACATGGCCTTGGTTTGAACCCAAGCACCAATGCTTACTAGTTATATGAACTTGGTTGAGTTACTTAAACTTCTTATGATTAAACAGTTTGGGATAAATTGAGGACAATAATAGCACCTACCTCACAGGATTGCCTTAAAGATTAAATGACAGTTTGTATATGGAAAGCACTTCTAACAGTGGCTAGCACATAGTACCACGTACATATCTGTTGTTGTTGTTGTTGTTAGTATTTTATTCCTTAAGAAAAATTAATTACTACCACTTCTGTGAATACCTTTCTTAGAAAACTAGGTACTCCTTTTCTTAAGCTTCCTCTAGACCTTTTCCATATCTCTAGTCATACTGTGGTCTGTGTGCATATTGGTCTCCAACAGCAGCAGACACATAGTTTGAGGGCAGGGGTCTGAGCTTTGCCATCCTGGTCTAACTAGGTCTCCTGCAGGGTCTGACCCAAGTGATGTTCATAAAGATGAGCATCTGTCACAGAAAGGAAATTTCTAAACAAGAGTATAACAGGATAAGAATAAGCTTAAATTTAATGATAATAGTGTCTGGGGATCTTTAAATAGTAGAAACTCTAGAACCTTGGTCTTTATGATTCTTTGAGGGGAAAAAGTATTCTTTTAAGACAGGTTTTGCTTCTGAAACCACTTGTGTGTGCATATCACAATCCTTCTACGCTCTTCAAATACTACATTCCCTATGAAGTTCTCTTTGAAGCATGTGGTCAGAAGATGGCCATTCTGTCATCACTGATTGTTCTAGTAGTTCTCTATCAGCTCCATTTGCATCACTTTGCAGACCCAACACTGAGCCACCTTTAAACTATCACATCTGAATTCTTCACTCTGACCACAGGTCTCTAACACCCCAGACCTATCCATGTCCTCCCACTGTAACACTCTGACTTCATGGGAATTCTAGCTTTGACCTCTCCCTCTTCTCCCAGCTGACCATGCCCTTCCTGTCACAGTTTCTTTCCTCCTCTCATTTCTCACTGCACAGACCCAAAAGCGATTTCAGAAAATAAGCTACCTTCCACCCTTTCAACAGCTTGTAAAGGTCACTAAAATGATGTATTGGGCAAATTGGGACCTTTTATCAACACTGTGCACTGAGGCTCATCTGAGAAAATGCTTTTGTGTCCTTAAAAATCGAGGTCACTGAGCGATGCTCTGTCACTAACTGTGTGAAGTCAAATGGTGTTAAAGGGATGTGTCAACCCCTTTTGGGGGTACTTGGGGTGTGGTGGGATGGTAGTGCTCAGTGGCCATGTAACGTGAAAGACACTACTCTGCCATCAGCAAGGATCCTCCTGCTCTCTTCACCATGATGGGCCTGCACTTTCTGCCTTTTTCCCTCTCTCATCCTGCCCCTTCCCCACTCCATGGTAACATAATAAAGATTCCCAACATAACCCAATTCTAACATTGGTTTTCTTCACTTAAAATGAGAGGAAATCACAAAACACATTAAGTTGGAATAAATATAAATATCTGGTCCTAATTTTATCCTGATCCTTAACACCACTTGCAAATGGTTCGTGTGTCTTCCATTAACTTCTCCCACTTTCCAAAGGAACTATTCCAACCTGCACTGTACCTCACACAATCTCCATTGCACAAACCCAATGTTAGTTTCTCTAATACAATAATTGAGTGAAGTCTGGCATCAGTTTCCCATATATTCTCCTATAGCAAACAAGTGGTTCCCAGGAGACCTTGCATTTTTTTTTAAACATCACTTTAGTCAAGCACAAATTTAGTGCAAAACAATGATCAAAAAAGATGCTGGCTGCTGAGCATATGAAGTGAACATCTATTACTGTAGCCTGATTGGTATGCATTCTTCTTTCCTAGAAGAGCAAGGTAACACATTTTCCTAGGACTGGCCAATCAAAGATTGGCGTGTCTCCACCTATCCTGAATGCTGGTCATAGTAACTGGTTTAGGGATAAATGACTTAATCAGTCATAAAGTGATTCACATGGGAGGAATTTTACTGAAAAGATTGGGGAAAAGAGTATCTCCTCTTTTTTTTCTGGGGCAGTTAAGCATATAGAATACAAGCCTGGAGTAAGGCAGGTGCATTTCTTTCCCATTTAGAAAAAATCAGTAGAATAGAGCCTATTAAAAAAGCAGAATCAAGAAAATTTTGGATCTTTTAAAAAGTAAATATGTGACCTGATAACACTTTTTGAGCACCTGGACCCAGTCATCAGTCTGCAACTGATAATAAACAATTTTCCATCTTCCATAAAAGTCATATTTTTATTATTTATAAATAGAAGAATCCCAACTAATATAGCATCTTTCTTCATTCAAGAGGATAGAAACAAAGAAGTAAATAGTCTGAACATAAAGTAAATTAGTAAATTTGAAAAGTGAGACACAGAAATTACCTTCTAGGAAGATGGAACTTACCAAAACTAATTTAATAAGAAAGAGAAGAATCTCCAAAACAACTATAATCACTAAAGAAATTGAATCAGTAGATTCAATATAATCAGTATAGTCTACCTTCCAGGGCACCTGGGTGGCTCAGTCAGGAAAGCATCCAACTCTTGATTTTGGCTCAGGTCATGGCCTCAGGGTGGTGAGATTGAGCTCCATGTCTGGGTCTGTGCTCGGTAGGGAGTCAGCTTGAGATTATCTCTCTCCCTCTCTCACTGCCTCTCCCCCCACTCTCTCCTTCTCTCTCTAAAGTAAATAAATAAATCTTGAAAAAAAAAAAACAAGTAATTTTCCTGGCACTTTATCCCAAACTTCCAAAAAAAGGAAAAGAAAGAAAGTTATATCAGTAATTTTATAAGATTACTATAAATTTGAGTCACAATTAGAAGTGAAATGCAGGGATACCTGCACCCCGATGTTTCTAGCAGCAATGTCCACAATAGCCAAACTGTGGAAGGAGCCTCGGTGTCCATCGAAAGATGAATGGATAAAGGAGATGTGGTCTATGTACACAATGGAATATTCCTCAGCCATTAGAAACGACAAATACCCACCATTTGCTTCGACGTGGATGGAACTGGAGGGTATTATGCTGAGTGAAGTAAGTCAATCGAAGAAGGACAATTATCCTATGGTTTCATTCATATGTGGAATACAAGAAATAGTGAAAGGGACCGTAAGGGAAAGGAGAGGAACTGTGTGGGGAAACATTAGAGAGGAAGACAAACCATGAGAGACTCCTAACTCTGGGAAACAAACAAAGGGTTGTGGAAGGGGGTGCTGGGTGACGGGCACTGAGGGGGACACTTGATGGGATGAGCCTTGGGTGTTATACTAAATATGTTGGCAAATTGAATTTAAATTAAAAAAATTAAAAAGGGGAGGGGGAGGAGAAATAAATGTGTCCATAAGGAGCATTAAGAACAAAAAGAGGAGCCTGTGATGGAAAGCAGTTCAGAAATCAGTCGTTTCTTTCAGAGATATTTAACTTTTATTATTTTTACATAAAACTGAATAACAAGTTCTTATTCATCTATTTACCCCAGTTCATCCTCATTAAGTGAAATATATATCATGGAATGTTGTACTTTCTGAATCCGACCGCCTGTGCAAACGTATGCCTTCCCAAGTGTTCACAGCCAGCTTGAATTTCCTCCTCATCTGCAGTAGTTCATGTGTTTTGTTAGTATTTCTAGGATTCCTCTGTGTCTGCTTTTAGGCCTGTGTGTGTCCTGGTGAATTCTTCATTCTTTTCATCTGTTTCCTTTTAAAGCTGTTTTAAGGTTCATTGCTTCTTGACCTCTTCAGCCTCGCTGTTCTTCTAGCCCTGTGCAATTCCCCAGTGGGGGCTTCCAGATTCTATTATTGCTGTGCTGTCAACAACCCTTTTTTCCCCTTCTTTCGCCAACTTTTAGCTACTCCCTGATCACATTCAGGGTGCAAAGATGCTAGGAGTGAGCAGCCAACCAATCCACTACCCCCTCCAGCAGTACATATGACAGAACCTATTTGGAATCCGTTGCCACGATGACTAGCTAATGCAGCTTAACGCCACAGCGTCAATTCACCTTCTGGAAGAAACCCAAATAGCAACCCAAGAAGGGGGTCAAGGATTAACTGATGCTAATAGAAATGTTCACAGCTGATAGTCCGGAGGAAACAGAGCATCCCAGCTGATGAAGGTCTGCATATCATTAGAGCGCTGTGGAAAGGAGCACTTCCCTGGGAAGGAAAAACCCCCTTTCAGTTCTGATGTAGCTTCATCGTCCACATCTTGTCCACTGGTTGCCTTGACTGTGGTGGAAACTGCAAACCACAAGAAGAGTTTATAATGGCAGCGTGAACCACAGGGATGACGTTGGTTCTATATCTAAGCCAGGAAGCTCCATGCAGTATTTCATGGCTCCTGATCTTTTTCCATATTATCTTAGACTGATCGTCTCAGCAGGAGTTTTAATGCATTGGAAACCTATTCGGGGGCAAGCTTTAAAAGCATTTAATAAAAGGAATGTGGAAGAAACATCATCCAGGAGTGAGATCTGCCTTAATGATTCCTCAACCTGTTTATTATTATCTCCTGCTTCCTAGAGATGATGGTTCAGCAGTTCTACAAATCAAGCTAAAAAAAAAAAAACAAAAAAACAAAAACAAAAACCCTGAGACTATTTGGAGCCAAAGGTCCTTCATCCCTACTGGATAATGCAGCCGGCTAGCCTTCCATTATGGGCAGGCTGTGGTTTATTCTGTTTCCTCGAAGGGATCCTCTAGAAGGAATTTTATGGCCATAGTCTTCATGGGAGCATTAAGCAATCAGCGGCATGTGTGGGAAGAGAAAGTACTTGTCTGAAAAGCTATGACTTCAGTTTTCCTTCCTACTTGCTGCCCAGGACTTGGTGGCCTCCTTTAGATCTAATGCTTCTTTGGAGAAAGCATTTTTAAAAGTTACCTCTAGACCACACTCATTCATAGAACAGGCATTGTTGGGGGAGGCCTGAAGTTTCCTGTTCAGTAAATCGCTGAGGTGAAGAGATAGACCCTGAATGGATAGTTCTGGCTCCCGGAATAGGGGCCATTCTTACTCGGAGGATGTCTGGGGAGCTAATGCTAATCACCGTCCTCATTTTCACTTGGCCCAATCTTTCCCTTTGGTAAACACACATTTCTACAGACCAAGACACTCTGCTGACTTCTACCTGAAAGATCTACAAGCAAAGGTGAAGCCAAACTGTATGGAGTAAATGAAAATAGAACCCGTGGGAGAGCCTGACACTTTATAGAAGTAAATATGACAAACTTAGGCCCACAGGAAACCATTTTATGCCAAAGATTGTGTCCTTTCAAAGAAAAGACTAGGCATTTTATTTTTCGAAATGAAACCTTAGATAGGTGAAACTATTGCCAGATGCCTGGTGGAAATTATTTTGTCTGTAGGGACGTCATGGTGATCTCTCTTGAAAAGAAAAATTAACCTTCAATGAATAAAAAAGTCTTTAAATTCCATGTTGGTAAAATTATTCTTACATTGTAGTTCTCATCAAGGACTAATATATATATAACACTTGAAGTTTTTCCATTAAACTGTTTTTGAGTTATGAGGAACAAAAAAAATAAGTTTGAACACACTGAAAGAAAAAAATGAAAAGACAGAGCTTTCATGTCCCTTAGCTGGAAAGTATGTTATTTACACCTCCGGCAATTCTCTATACACCCTTCCCCAACCCCACGCTGGTATCGGCAATACCATTAGTTACAAGTTTTAGGTAGAAAATGTTTTTAACTTAGTGTTTAATTCAACAAATATGTATACCTAGGAAGGGCAAAATTGTGTACTGAGTGCAAAAAGCACTGAGATTGTAATACAGCATTTGGATTATTCTTTTTTTTTTTTAGATTTTATTTATTAGAGAGAGAGTGAGAGAGCAAACACAAGTAGGGGGAGCGGCAGAGGGAGAGGGACAAGCAGAGTCTCCACTGAGCAGGGAACTCAATGTGGGGCTCCACCCCAGAACCCCGGGATTATGACCTGAGTCGAAGGCAGATGCTTAACTGACTGAGTCACCCAGGCCCCCCTGGATTTTTCTTTAAAAAAAAAAGAGCAAGTTGTATGTAATTGGACTGATGGCCATTTAAACTATGGAAAAGTCAAATTTGAAATGTCTGTAAGACCAGCGAGGGAGAGAGGGATGTTCATCAGGAAGCTGAAAACTTGGTCAGAAGACAGGCAAAATTGGACGTATCGAGGTGATGGTCTTCTGTGTCATATGATGTCCTACAAAGTAGGTTTCCAATGAAAAATTAAATGATAACTACTATTTTAGTCTCTTATTTAAAATAGCTTCTAAAGTGATAAATACACCTTCCCAGGAAGTATTTCACAATGGATGTTCAATTCTCTCCATGGCCAGCCAAGTAAGTGAAGGGCTCAGGGAATCACAGTAACTCTTTGAGGGAGGCTACTTATCCAAGCCCAAGGGGAGTGAGAGGGGGCCTGAGAACACAGCAGTGCCTGGGAAAGGGGAGAGGAGAGAGGGAGAAGCTGGACTAGAGTGTGGAAGAATTTTCTAAAGAATTAGTAAATATAGAGATTTTTTCATGTAAAGAGAAAAACATTTTTTGAAAAAGCGAAAAACAAAGGTAGCAAGAGGGCATTGGTTGCTACTCCATTTAAATTTTGTATTTTTTTATTACCCTGAAAAATATTTTCCTCTTTAAAACTCAGAAGCCATTTTTCAAAGTTGAGAATTGTTCTGTGGTTCAAATAACTTAAACAGGACTTAGCTACTATCCTTCAATGTATTTAACTGTACGCTGTATCGAACTTTTGGTGTCTCACTTATTCATTCACCCATTATTTATTTAGTTATTTTTTCAGGCACAATGACTTATACCAATTTTCTTAAGAACCCCTATACAAAAATGCCCATTACGCTATAAAACATTTTTCTTAAGGAAAAAGACAGGAGTTGCTATCAAGCAAAATCCTTTAGCAATCCTTGAATGAGTCTGGTTCCGTAAATGCCTTAGCATCTCCTTTTATAAAAACAAAGTCACGCTAGGCAGGAGAAATATTTATATTTACTTTAAAGGACTGGATAGGTGGTGCATTGCTACAAGTTGGGTTACTGATGCTATTAGCTAACATTGGACAGTCCTCCCCAAATCATCTCATTGGTCAAGCCAGACCTTCACAGAGACAAAATGAGGGCATGCTGTTCCAATAAGAAATGATTGATCATACTGCGGCTTATTTATCAATTTGCTCTGTATCACACCAAATACCAAGGTGGTTGATTAAGATCATTTTGACTTGTCATAACTCCGGCATCCTATTGGCTGATTTCCACAGAGCTCTGCATTAAGATAGTGGGCTAGAGAGTCATATAGACCTGAGTTGAGTTACAGTCCCACTGTTAGGAGGTACATAACTTCAGTCAAGTCAGTTCACCTCTCTGAAATTCATTATCATCATCTGCAAAATGAGGATTTATAATAAATCCACCTTAAGAGTTATTGTCAGAATTAAAGGAGGTAATACATGGAAAGCTTTGAACAGAGTCTGAAAAGCAACAGATACTTCTATTTTTAGTATTATTAATCTGATTCTGATGTCCAGGGTTCACACAAGTTGAAAAAAACTTAAAGACAAAAATGATTACGATAATCAGAATTATATCCTCCCTGAGTGTTTGGGGGTGGGAATAGGAAATCTCTTTCCTTTCCCCTACCTTTTTTTTTTTTTTTGAGCGGGCTTTTTCATTCTCTCTCTTCTGTATTATTTCAAAGTACTCACTTGCTGAGGACCCTTTTTCTCATCAGAGCATATATTAGGTTTGATCCCCAATAGCCTTTGAACCCTTACAGGAGTCATCAGCTGAGGGAGGCAGCTAAGACTAGACATTGGCTACCTCAGTTATAATACTTTAGCAATACAGTATCTTGGCATCCCTGCTGGTGATGGGCTCATGGAAAGAAGCTATATGGGAAAAGCATGACAGCTTGAGGTGCAAATGGAACTAGTCACAAATTCTTGGGATAGAAAGCATTGGAAGGAAAATAGCTCTGCTGGATGTCAACTTGTGTAGCAATGAACATGATCTAGGCTAGGGTGCCATACTACTGAGGACCAAAGCAAAAGTCTTTCCTGGGACTTACTTTGGTTTCAGTTGAAATTTTAATAGAGACTGAAGTTCACACAACTAAAGCGAAGGTGGATATACATTAGAGTGGATTTGATTTTGGCCTCTTGAATTTTTAAAGCTACATTTGTTAAGTCATAAGATTTTTAAAAAACAAAAATAGAATTTGAAGGTATAATGATTTGACTTGAACTATCTTTAAATAATAAACCAGCAGGCATATATACTAGTGCTCATTCATTTTTTAGTGAGAAAATGATCATTGCTCATGAATTGTAGCTTTCTTGTCTGGCACTAAATAATGCAACCTTAGTGAGAAAATCAGGGCTCTGAGACACATTACAAACAGTTACAAATATAGCAGTTACATTACTCTAGTCCTAGCAGCAGAAGTTTTCATTATAAATATGGATATTAAGAGGTACATCATTCCTATGTGTGCATGCTCTAATCTGATTCTTGACAGAAGAGAGAAATGAACTCTTCTATGTGTAAGTGAAGATACTTTCTTTTGTTTCCATTCCGTTTTTTTCTAGAGACAAAAAAAGCACATTTTTTGAAAGCCTCTTGAGGACTGAGACTCTTTAGATTGAGACAGGAATGAAATCCCACCACTGTGTAGAATCTGTACCTGGTTTTTAATTGCGCAACTACATTACCATCGCAGGAAATGAAAACAATACAAATTCCCACCAGGCATTTTCATTAAGGCTCCAACCAAAATACATCTGATTTCTTGCTTGAGGACAGATAACTGGTTGTAGGGCATTTACACGTGTCAGAAGAGCAGATTGGATAACTGTTCTGCACACAGACTTTTGGTAAGCAACTTACTTTCTGGTCCATGTTTCATTCTTCCCTTCTAGTATACCTGATGATTCAAAGGCCTGAGCCTATCTTAAATTATTATCCAGATCAGCAGCTCCCTGATGTGGTCCCCAAACTAACGACATCAGCATTAGCTGTGAACTTAGCAGGAATGAAATTTCTCGGGCTCTACCCCAGACCTACCGAACCAGAAATTGTGGGGATGGGATCCGGCCATCTGTGTTTTAGCAAGCATGCAGGGCAATTCTGATGCACATTGGCATTTGGGAACCATAGATATGGGGCAGATTAGCTTCTTTGGAGAACAGATCTGCTCTCTGCGTTCTGGGCTCTGGTTTGCTC